TTTAACAATGTCCCGGATGGATGGATGGATGGATAGATGGATAGATAGATATCTGAAGCTTTCTTGAAATTAAAGGTTTGTGGCACCATAGCTTCCCATTCAATTGTTTTGCTTAAATTTTAAACATCTAGAAATAACAGACTAACATGTAGGGCATAGTGAATTATGGGATACCAAAGAGATTGATTGCAGGTAAAATAATTATTATTTCAGTTTTCTTATTTCACGATTCAGAAATAGGAAAGCATTGCCACCAATTTCTGACCATTAAAATTCAGCAGCATGAGGGTTTTAGGAGGAGACAAACTGGTGGGTTAAAGGTCTTACACACCTGTAGCCTATTTTCCTTCATAGATGCAGCCCTTCTAAGATTATGACAGAATTTCAGAGTTGGAAAAGCTCTATTTAAGTTCAGCCTCCTGCTCAGTGTGATAATGTAATTAAAGCATCAACAGATACCTAACTAGTCTGATCTGGACCACATCCAGAGAAGAGGAGGCACCACTTCTCCTACATCGCTGTTTCCCTGCTTCTCATCATCACTGTGCTGATGCTTTGTTTTCCTTCTCCACAGCTCTGCGGAATTGCTCTGATTGCCCTGGGGATTTGGGTACAAATCGAGCTCAAAAACACGCTGACAATGACCAGCTCAACATCCACTACTGCTGTTCCTATTGTCATTTTGTCCGTGGGCGTCATAGTGTTCTTCATCTCCTTCCTTGGTTGCTGCGGGGCAGCGAAAGAGAACTACTGCATGGTCACCACGGTGAGGGGGGGGATGATGAAGAAGAAGAAACCGGGGGGGGGGGGGCTATGGAATAGCTGATGACCTTGTTCCCGCTTCTTATGCTGCATTCAGACAAATGATCGGACCTATAGCATTATTTTTTGGAGTTTTGGAAATGGGAACCATGAGAAATCAAGCAGGCTGTTATGCAGCCGCTGTGCAGATTTATCCTATCTCCCATTGCAGAAATGTTTCCTAGGAATGTGCCACATGAACAATTCTTAGTCACAGGCCCTTGGGGCTCAAACGCATGTAATCTGGCAACTGCTATTCCCAGTTGTTTGAATTGGTGGGAATACCTGCGGTATTAAGAGCTGCTTATTTTCTAAGGATGGTTGTGGGGTTTGGAAGCTTTAATTGGAATTTAAAAATAAAAATTGTTGGAAGTTAGCATTTTACTTTTTAGCCTGCCAGCTTCCCATTTCATTTTAAAAGCAGGTTCGAATGAGGTGAATCAGGTAGCATGGTGGGCAACAAGGGTAACCTCCATCAGTAGCATATTGGGAGATTATAGCATTATGGCTGCACACCGCGGTATTGTAAAAATACTTTGCAGTTGAGAAAATAATTCAAAAAGGAATGGTGTGATGTGA